CTGCTATGGTCAAAACGGAAACGAAGTAACACAAATCATTATCTTAGTAACAGTGACGCAAAAGCAGAACGAATCCGAGAGTGGCGCGGTTCGACCTATATAGCTGTGCAGCAACCCGCCAACCATTCAGTGTCGGTGAGACTGTGGAGGAGGAAGACGTGTTATGTATTTTTCTCGCTAGTGATACTGAAAGTCTAGTAAAGAAAGCATTTGTTTTTATTTGGTTTATCAAACTTTCTGAAAATTAATTAACACATATTTACATAAGATCTCTGTGCTATTTTTAGAATGAAGTTTTAGCGAATTTTCATAATCAAGTGTTTGTTTACGACGCCCACCTCACGTGCGTAGTGAAGTCTGGAGTAAGTTAAGTGAATCCAAAAGAACTAGCGGCCTTCACCGCTCGTAGACTTCCGTGCCTCACCCCACGCCCGCGACCTTCACACTGTTTTGACGAGGTACGAATTCGGTTCCAGCGCCGCCTGTGATCGCCGGGGGACACTCCCGTCGCAACAGGTAAGCCAAACGTCAGCTTGCGTGGTTTGTAATAGACTGCAGGGGTAAAACATTTATCAGATTTTGATTTATTGCAAAATGTTTAAGCGTTTCAGGTCACACGATTGACAAAACGTGACCTGGAAAACGAGCGAAACTAAAATGACAGACACGTTTTTTTTTAACACACCACATGCAATTGCATTCCTTTTCCCACCCGAAGGAAAATTACATTGGCGAATAAAAGCATCTCCAGGGACAGTAAGCCTAGATTCAAGTCACATTGAAACATTTGCTTCATTTCCCAAAGAAACTACAGCATGATTACTGTATAACTCGAGTTCTCGCGATAAGAAAACGATATCTATATACAAATTATAAATGTCGTTTGCATTATGTTCGCCGCTGATCATGCATGAGATACGTCATTGCAGCTCGCCATCAACACAGACCGCACTTGCATAGATCGTTGATATGACAGGGGGGTGGGGGGGAGCAAACAGGCGGGTGCCGGCATCAGGTTACAGATGTCGAAGAGATTCATCAGGTCTTCCTAAGGCGATTTTAGTATATTTGTTTCCTTAAGTTTCCTCGTTCAGGTTGGTCAGTGGTAATCTGTCGCCTCCGTCGCCTTTGTCGCTGTGCATCAGTAGTGTTGTCACCAACATTATCGTTGTCGTCGTTATCGCCTTCACCTTCACCTCGTCACCGTCACCATCATCGGCATCGTCATCGTCGTCACCATCCTCTTTCTCGTCATCCTGAGTGACTACCGTCATTGTCAACATCATCATTATTAGTATTCATCCTATAGTCATAATCACGTCATAATTATCATTAACATTATTATCATCTGCAAACCTTATATCATCCTAAATATTTTCCTTGTTTATAACTTTGAACAAATAACCACTTTATGAACAAATTTAGCCGACCCTAAAAACCTGCGCTCCGAGTCCCACCATTCTGCTAAATAATAATGCCCTTACCGTGCCCTACATTTGCCATTATTATTTATCATCCGTCAGTCCAATCTAAACATGCGTTCATGCATATAGTCACGAACAATCAAGTTGTTTGTAATGGCAGGCTATACAGCGACATTATTAAATATCGGCCATTATAAAGGTAGTTATCTTGCAGTATGTTGTCTAACTCCTTATAATCACCTTTGAAATATATGACCTATCTATCTTAATGGACCCAATTTTGAATGACAACCGTGTTTGTTTAGACCCTTTAATACCCGCAGTCGCGGATAATGTGCAGATGTGGATTAATAATTCAAGAAGCATAATACACAGGCTGCATGATTCGGCTCTCGTCCAGAATCAGCGCTGACTGGATATATTTCCTAGAAGTTTTTACTCAGAATAAAATTGCAGCTGAAAAGGACAGCGTCATTTTCAACATTTCAACCAAACCTACGACGTGGGTATTAGTTGTCCGTTGAAACGCTTTTCTTTAGAATAAAAGAAGAAAAACAAGGGATGAAAAGATAACGACTGCACATAGCGTTGCGGGAGAGTGTGAGACATACCCCGTTATCCACATTAAAGAACTACTTAAGGTTGACTTTAATGGCCGCAGTAGAGTAGTGTGGTGGCACACATTCAGTGTTGCCGGTAATTGTAGAAGACAAGAAAGCATTTTGTTGAAAAGATATGCTTCTGTCAGAGCATAACATGAGTGTCGTTTCCAGTTGGTGGAATTGATAGAGTAAACCGCATGTCGGGTAAAATTTCTTTGCAATCGGCTACATCCCGTGTATCGATTACCTAATTATTACCTGTAACATGTACTTTGATATAATTTTTCATCGCTAATTCATGTTTATATTACACACTTAAAATTATGCTACTTTACGTCAAATATTTTTTAAAACCCTCCTATCCTTACCTTTGACTTTTTTATGACATTTTTTTTCATATTTTGGAAAGTTATAATGAATCGAAAAGTAATGGATTACTTCAGAAGTAATCAGAATGTCATTTAACCAGAAATGTCGTTTGTTAACTATTCCCATATATCTCCTCTACCAGACCATGCTCGTGTTCGGGTAATAGGCCTACTCAGACAAACGCGACTTTGATACTCAGCAAGTTGTGAAAAAAACACGCAGCAGCAGTCATACTAAACAGGTACACGAATGGTGAAAAAAATCGAATTACTTCAAGCAGAATAGCAGACCGTGTTTACCAGTGGATTTTTTCTGATGCGTTGATCAGAAGGATTACCACAAAAGTAATCAGAATAGCTTTTGCCGGAAATGTCGTTCATTATCTGTTGCTATCTTTTGGCCTCTGTTCTCGTGTTCGTGCAGCTTAGCGAGGCACATGGGCCTACTCAGTTCGAGTCAAACGGGAATTCAGTTGATTCATAAGCTCCCTGGGTTTGATCGCAGAAATAACTATCTTTGCTGCGCGAGCATGAGGGAAGACATGTCGGTGTCCGGGAAACCAAGCTACCGGCCGGCCATGCATGCCTATGGCTAGTGGCCAGCATTTAAAGGCCTTAATCCGTTTCCGTGTTCAGAGAAATGCAAGCATTGCGGGAGATGCCTAAGTTATATTTGGTGTTAATTTGGATGTTGACTGCGTGGAATTATTTAAACGAATCAGATCAGTGTTACGGTTAGTATTTATTAATGATTTGCATTGTAAATCTAATATTAGGTTGCTCCAGCTTTTCTGTTTTCGTATGACGGACGTAAATTAGATTCACTGATACAGCGCATTTGTAAGGCCAGCGCTTTGCGATCCGTTAAATGTATAAGAACAGCTTTTTAAGAGACAGGAATGTTATGAATAAGGAAGGAATAAGTCGGCTTCCTACGACTCTGAAATACTGTTACAAATCTGTTTTCCAGACGTAGGGCTCATTGGCATTGTTGAACATTGGCCTGCCCAAAGGAAGTAACCTCCATTAGATTGTGGAAATTATTTACCTGTATTTACTTGTAACGAGTTTCTACACTATTAATTATCATCAGTCAGATCCAGTATTTCTTTTCTAGTTTTACTCGTCTTAAAAATCAAGAAAGAAAAAAAGCTTAAACACGTACACGCAGCACGAGTGAAGGAAGCAATTGTTGGGGACCGAAGAGTATCTGGACAGAACACTTCTTTTCGCAATGCAACAGCGCCCGACGGATGAGGACCGCGACCCCGATGGAAAGTAAATATTCCACAGGAGATTATGAATAATGTAAGCCTCCGCACGTGAGACTCATGTGTTCCCGTCGGATGGGGCAACAGCGCTCCGGCTGTTTTCACTGGCGAGGGTGAGAGAGCATTCGCTCATTTGTTGTTGTTTGTGCAAGTTATTCTCTTTCATTCTTTCTCTTTTAGATGTAAAGTTCCCGTCAAACCTAAAATGTTACCAGCTGGAAATATATAACTCGATTTTATGTGTATCGACAACAACTATTCTCGCTGTTACCCTACATCTTCAATTTGTTGACATTCACATAGATTCTGTTTGATGGTAAATTCAGAAAGTATCGCTACTAATCCTATATGGATTTCTGGTACTGAAATATCAATTGATGCATTCAGTCAGAATAGTCTTATCATTGCGCTATTGTATGGAAAACGAAAGTAAATTCGTTAGATGCCGATAACGAATACTAGCATTGGCATATTCATTACTTGTCTTTTAAGTCACGTTTTCTTCTATCACCCAAAAAACGCGTGGGTTCTTAATGAGTGTGAAATTGCCGTCATGTGAATTGGGCTTGTTAATTTCCTGTTGCACGCGAGGGGCGCCTGCTAATTAGTGCCTTTCAGAAGTGTGTTTATCAGCCGCGGGAAGGCGTGTGATGACGTCGTTTCTCGCGGTGCAAGTGTCGATGTTGATCTAATTAGTCCATGCTAATTATGATACTAGATCCTATGGATTTTCCCCAGAATGTCATTATTTAATCGCACTGGGAAATTTGAAACACCGCCAATGTTTGAGTCCGCTGTTTCTGCATTTAAATGGACTTAAGATGGACATACGCTTGTAGCATATATAACAACAGGGTAGGCCGGGGTGGTAGGATAGGTATGTTTACTAGTCATGACAAAATTCTTTGTTTCCCTCACTTATACTACTAGACACAATTATTAATATTGTCTTTGTCTACAGTTTCCATTACAGTGTATTAAGGATTCTTTTTAAGACGCTTACTCTACCTGAGATCTTCAGCGTGTCTAAAACTAACAGTGGGTAGCTAATATGCTGGTGCGTAAAATCACCATAAAATTAAAGGTGGCAATAACATTATCGTTTACCAGTACTAGTAATGACGATCTTTGAAATAAATATAAATGAAAATGATGATTATTTCTTTGATTTTTTAGCCTATCTATGAAAGTGTGTTAGGGCTACAGTAGAGAAGAAAAGTGAAAGGGTTCAATAGAAAGAAAAATAACAAAAACAACGATATATAAATGGAATCGGTGAGTCTATTAAAGAAAACAAACTAAATTAATTATCTATTATCGTAAGACAGATATTGTATATAGTACGTTATTTAGGATTCAAGTTAAAAAAAATTAGTGATTATTCTACTGATAAGTGTGATTATCAATTATAATAGTGGTGGTAATGATACTGGTAATGGTAATTATAATGTTAATCATAATAATGACAATAATGATAATCATCATTGTGATATTGATAGTAGTGGAAGTAAGTACAATGGAAATAAAGGGGCGGCATTTACTAAAATGGTATTACTATGTAAATTTTACGTGTAATTGTACGTCGAAAGTTTGGGCGGCAACTGCCACCCTGATCCCGAAAGTGACGGTTGCAGCGTAAGTGTTATCGTCGGAGGAAGCAAATTACAGCCTTTGGACAAGGTGGAACTGCCTCGCGTGGGATGATTGCCGGTGTTTACGCTGATATAGTTGTCATTTTTTCTGATTGGTCGCTTATGCTCTGCGACGTAAGAAATCATTTACTGAGCTAAGCAGTTGATTTTTCTTTTCACGCTTTTATGGCTAAAATATATGAACGTCTAAAACAGACAG